ATATTTTTTTCTTCATACCAAACATCGGTAGTCTCATTTCCTCTTCCCCTTCCCTCCCTTCCTCTTCCCCTCTTTCTCACAACGTAATGGCAAACTTTCAGAAGATATTTGCTGTACCCACAAAACTATTCATATTCTTGGGCAGGTGAACAGAGTGCTAACTGGCAGAGCACTTGCCTAGCCTCTTGATCTCCAGCAATAAGAACAAAAAGCATTAACCGATTAATGATGTGGTTGTTCACTTTGTAGATATTCTTCAGCTTCTGGAAGAAGAACGTGGATTATGAAACATTTAAAGCATTCAATGATGCATGCCTTGTCTATGATGGCAGACTTGTAATTGATACAGACTTCCATACCAATGACGTAGCCATCAGAGCTGCTGGCTCCCTCACTAAATTCTCCAACAGATATTACTCAAATGAGTGGACTCACAGCAACTTCAGTTCTAAAGAAATTGGGTTTCAGCTGGCAGCAGCTATGCTCCGTCTCTTTGATCCAACCATTGAACCTGTGACCGAGCCACCAGTGGATCCTGACTGGCTCATCCCGACGTACAAGGGAGCCAAGATCCAAGGTGTGTAAGCCAAGGCCTTCCTCTCCTTTAATGAGGCCACAAGTGGGATGGATCAGTGTTCAGAACAGCCATTCACATTTCTCTTAAACTTAACCCCTCAGTCTCTCCATGGGTTGCCACAGAGACACAGTAGGAGTCTCATTTCTTAGATGTATATTATGAACCTGGCAATATCATTATTACGGTCCACTGCATACTGAGCATTTATGACAGATGACCTCCTAACAGCAGTCCCCATTTTACAGACTGAGGAATATTAGTAACTTCCCTGCTGATCTTGAAGCTGGTGAGCAGTGGTTTTCCCTAATATATTCTTACCATAAGTTCAGAGATGAAGAAACCCTTCCAGGCACCTACCTTAGCCTGGTCTCTTGATGGATAAGCTTAACCATTTACAGCTGTGAAACAGTCCACACTGACTTAGGAAACCTTGTTGACCTCTAGGAGGTGATGCCACAAGTCAAGCAGGTGTTTTTGCATTTACTTTATGTTGAATTTATTCATGTGCTGTAAGTTTTTTTTCTTCTGTTTCTTCTGGGATATCTTTTTCTTCTGTGCAACTTCCTGTTCTGGCTTAGGAACAATGTGTTGCTTTTCAGTGAAGGTCCTCTCAGTGAGGCAGAGGGGAATCCCTGTGTGGGTTAATCTGACCATGAGCTCTTTAAGTTCTCCCATGCATCTGGGGTGCTTTGTGGACCTAGATGTATTCAATGACTACAGAGTCTACATCCAAACCCTTCAGTTCAACATTACTCAACAACATTGCATTTTTAAGCACATGCAGCAAAAATCCAGGTTTTGGGGGCCATAGACTATGGGTTCACCTCCACCATTGTACCACTGGAATGGTATATATTGCTCCTTTAAAGTAATATCCTTCAGATTCTTGATGGTTTTTTGGATATGTATACCTTTGATGGCCTGGGCAGTTTCACAGGTGTTCTTCAAGTGAACATGAAGATTTAAGCCTCTTGGTTTGCATGATTTTATAGGGCTTTCTGGGTCAAAAGTATATTAAACCATTTTCACAGGCCACCTCACACTGCATACAGGAAAAGGAAGATAGATTTTTTTAATGGAGAGAGAGAGAGAAAGAGAGAGAGAGAGAGAGAGAGAGAGAGAGAGATCTTTTAAAAATGGTGTATTTATGGCTAGAGAGATGGCTCAGTAGTTAAGAGCTCTGAATGCTCTTGCAGCAGACCCTGGTTTGGTTCCCAGCACCCACATAGTAACTAACAACCTTCAGTATGCTCCAGTTCTGGGGGAATCTAACACCCTCTTCTGGCCTCTGTGGGCATTGCACACATGGTGCATTTATATACATACAGGCAAAACACACATAAAATTAAAAAAAGAATTTTTTTGGTCTTTTTGAGACAGGGTCTCCCTGTATCCCCAGCTGACCTGGAACTCACTATGTAGACCAGGCTGGCCTCAAACTCACAGAGATCCTTCTGCCTCTGCCTCCCAAGTGCTGGGATTAAAGGCGTGAGCCACCACACCCGGCCCACATAAAATAAAATTTAAATGGTGTATTTAAATGTTGCATACCTTCTAGCCAGAAAAATCCACATCTTTACAAAATTTTATGTTAATTTCTAGGAGGCTCATGGAACAACCCCTCATCTAGTAAGCAGAATAACAAGCTAAAGAGATCAGTGACTCACATTCTGTTCTCTGTCTTCCTCTTCCCAGTGAGATGCCTCAGACAGATTCTGCTCTGCTTCTCCTCTGGTTAGACCTTAGGAAATTCCAGTGGTGACCTCTGGCAGGCAAGAGAAGAGAGGGCCCTCAAGTACCAGAACCTAATCAGGTTTAAGGGTGCCCCCCCAAATAATAAGGACTTGATAATGATAGTTTTCTAAGACATTAACAAAGAACTTTGTCAGTTTTCCTTATAGAGTTGTTTTTAATATTCTGGCTCTATTTGGGGACCATGGGAAATGGGAACACCATGCAATATTCAAGACTTCTAGAGCTCATGGTCTAGTTAGGGTGTAGGTCAGGGTACAGAGAGCTGTGGGAAATTACTAGGCCATCTTTGCACATCTTGACACCTCAAGGACTATATTTCAGGGTATAATAGTTTCATCATATTTATTTGATTAAATAAAGTTTAGTGAACCCAGAGCCTCCCTTGCTAATTGTCAGTATTATAGCTGGAGTTTGATACATTGTAGGCATCTCTCTTTGTATTGAATGATAAAATATAAACAGTTTCCCAGTTAACCAACAGATCCTTTCTGATGTGGAAAACTTGCCATTTTCTCTAGGAGGCATCCTTCCTGGGTCCTATCATTACCTGCATATCTCTAAGCCTGCCATTCCAAGTCCTTTGGAGATACAAAGGGCACAGCCTGATTTTGTAAGTATTATTTCTGAGTTTTAGTTTCATTTGAATGTGACACTTTGTTTTATGGGAAGATGAAATTTTTGACTAGGGGTTTTTCATGAAATGCATTGGTTCACACATCATAAACCCCTTGTACTCATCAGCATTCAAGATAGCCTCTAAGAATCTTTGCATCTCTTGGCCTCCCACACTGAGCAGAGTTGACTGGTTTAACCAGCAGGACGGGTACTGTAGAGACTACAGCGTGTGATTTCCAGAGCTATAGTTTGCTTCTGTCTTGCCCCCTTCCAGATAACCTGCTGCCATGTTGTAAGGTCATTCAAGCAGCTCTTTCAAGAAGTCCATGTGGTAAATAATTAAGGATGCATGTACCAACTATAGGAGTGACCTGCCTTAGAAGTAGGTCTTCCAGGCCCATTCAAGCTTTCAGTTGCCTACAGCTTTAGCGAGCATCTTGGCTGTAAACCTAGGAGACCTTGAGCTCCCAACTAAGACACTCCCGATTTCTGAGGTCATGTGATGATCAAGTTTATTGTTGCCTTAAGCCATCATGTTTTCTTTAGTAGACTTTTTTTTTAGAGTACTTTTAGTTTCATAACAAAATTGAGCAGAAGTTCCAGCGATTTCCTGGATACCCCTTATTCCTCCTCCCCTGTATCTCCTTCTCAGCTATCCACCCTAGGTACACCCCCTACTAGAGTGACAGTTATTAGAACCGATAGACCTACATCAGTACATCATTATTAGCCAGCTCCCATAACTTGCATTAGGACCCATTCTTGGCCTTGTATATTGTAGGGGTTTCAACAAGGTACAACATATAACAATACATTGACCGCCAGCATCATAGAGAGTCACCCTGCTACTCCAAAATTCTGTGCGCCTCCTTCCTCCTTCCATTCTATGGGCTCCCAGCCTCTAGTGTTTTTATTGGCTCCATACTTTTATCTTTCCCAGAATGTCATGTGTGTGAACTATTTTTCTTGTTGTTGTGGCCAAATACCTGACAGTAAGCAACTTAGGGAGGGAAGGGTTTATGTCAGCTTACTGTTTGAGGACACAATCCACCATGGTCAAGAAGGCATAGTAGCAGGAGTTTGAGGCAACTAGTCACATTGCTTTCACAGTCGGAAGCAGAGAGATGAATGCTTGGGCCCAGTACCTCTCTCCTTGTATGCAGTCTAGGACTTCAGCACATGGAATGATGCCATTCACATTTAGGATATTATCCTCCCCTCCATTAACCTAATCTAGAAACTCCCTCAGAGACATGCCCAGAGGTTTGTTTCTATGATGATTCTAAATCCCAACAAGCTGACAGTCTGGGTTCACCACCACATCGTATAACTGGATCCACACAGCACGTGGCCTTTTCACATTGTCATCTTTCACTTAGTAATGCACATTTAAGTTCCCTCCATTGGCTGTACAGCTCATTTCTTAAAGTGCTGAGTAATAGTCCATTGTCTGGGTATACCACAGCTTATCCATTCATCTACTGACAAGCAGTAAGTCATTAGGTATTGAGGTAGCCTGTGACACACCACCAAGTTTCTAAAACATCTGCTTTTGTGGCAATGGAGCAAGCACATTATTTTGGATCAGGAATGGCCACTGGGCCTTGCCGTCTTCCTTCCCTCCTGAATTATATTGAAAGACCACCTGGGAAAGTGGGAGCTATGGGTGGGAATTATCACTGGTCTGTTGGAAAGCTCCTCAAGTAAGCTTCTCTGATAGATGGTCCCAGTCCCAAGCTGGGATTTTGTCAAATGGTGACTCTGTTTCTCATGTGTCTCCTTGTTTTTATTCAGTGAGGCAGTCACTGGGGTTGCCTGCTTAGCCTCTGTTCCTGTTCTTATCTTACGCATATTTCTAAAGGCTGATATGACCAACTTAACATAAACGAATTTCTAAGATTTCCTTGAAGGTAGGGCTAGCCCTCTGGCAAATTCTGTCCAATCAGATACTTATAAAAAATTCTAGAAAAGTCCTCAAAAGCTATTAGAAAAAATATTCAAACTGTCACAGGCCATTGGCCCCTTACCCTCACCCTTCAGGAAAACTGAGTTCTTGGATTTGCTTCCCATGAGCTTTGAACAAGTTTTTCATCTTCTGCATTCCTGGAGTTGTTATTGATCTCTTGTACAGAGCAATGCTTAGAGCAAAACAGGTGGCCAGTTAACGGTGGAAGTTCATGTTAGTCCTCGTTCCGGATGAATAGTGAAACTTATTCTTCCAGGGAAAAAGAAAGAGAGTCTGTATAAATTTTGTTTCTCTTAGGCCCTTCACAGTTTTTGTTTTTGTTGGTTGGATTTTTGTTTGTTTATTGGTTTTGTCTTCTATGTAGTTCAAAAGCTGGCTTCAAACTTGCAATCTTCCTACCTCAGCCTCCTGAGTGTGGGGATTACAGTCAAGTAGCACCATGTCCAGCTTCCCTGTTCTTTCAAGTGTCCTATATACATAGTCTGATCCAAAATGCTGTTACAAAAAAGAAAACCCTGGGATGCTAGCAAATAATGTCCCAGTTCCTGTTACTATATGAAGCAGTGACATACTAATAGTTATCCCACTCTGATGAGAGTCTGTGGTACAGAAATTCAGATGGCACAGGGGAACAGCTGGCCCATGTTCCACAATGTCTGGAGTCTTAGGTAGGAAGACTAGAAGCTTAGATGAGTGTTCTGGATTGTCTGAGAGATAGTTTACTCATAGTTAAAGCTTATTACTTTCCCAGTCTGGTGCAGATCCAAGACAGAGTGCCCACAGAGCCTTCCCCCTTGGCTGTCCATGTGACCTGGGTAGCCTGGGACCAGTCAGATTTCTCTGTGACAGCTCAGGCCCTCAAGTGCAAGTACTTTCCCTGGCAAGTTGGCATATGCATTGCCTTGTACCGCCCAGCCTTGCAAATCACTCAGCATCCCCCAACACACACACACACACACACACACACACACACACACACACATACACACACGCCTGCACTTTGGTTAGAACAGCTGTAGTCTGCAAGTATTCAAGGAATGTACAGAGACCCATCTTTCAATGGGAAAACTGTCAAGGTAGAGAATATGGAATGGAGACCACTGCAGCCATCTTTGGAAAATATAATCTACATAATGAGCTGAGACATTCAATAAACAGGATGAAGCCCAGGGTGCTCAGAGGCTGCATTCTTTGGCCACTATAGTTAGATAATTTGAACCTGATACAACAGCTAGAAAATGTTGGGCTCAGTTTTAGATCAAACTAGATTCTTCAAGGGCACTCACTGCATGATCCCCACATGCCATGCCCTATATTCATGAACTTCACATCTCTGTTTTCTCTGCATAAAGTCAAAGGGGGAGCCAGAAGGGGTTTTATATAATGAGAGTTTTAATAACAGTGCAACTTAAATAGATTCTTTGGCTGGTGCTATGACAGTTTTTGAACAGGACCCCTGACTTTAATTAACCATTTTGCCAGGTGGGCCTCCTTTTTAATTAGTACAGAAGATCTAAGCAGATTTTCTCCCCATTTTATTATCCAAGAAAAAAATGTAGGATGGCTCCATGGCAATCTTTTGGAGTTGGAATTAATTTAAGTAAAATGGTTGCCAAAATAGTGGGGCAGTCACCTAAATACAGCCAGATGATCAAGAATGTGGCCCATGGAACAGCATTTCTCCAAGGGAACTGAATTATTTTTACAATAGATATGGTTCAGATTAATCTTACTAGACTTTTCTAATTCTCAGTAAGTGGAATATGAAGTAGGAAGACACTTTAGTATTCACCAGCTTTTTGCACAATACCCTGACAAAAGGATGAAAGGACCCCAAGTCGCCTACATAATAAACTGATTTGCAGATTCCAGTCCACATGCTCTGTTGGCTTATACACCACCAAGGAAAGAAATTTGTCACAACAAATTCTGCCTTGGATACTATCAAATTTAAAATTGTATTTGTCATGAGAGCTGGGGACTTGATTTCTTGAACACCAAATCTGGTAAATCCTGTGTCTTCCATTTGGCAGGAATTCCGAAGCCATTTTCCAACCTTTGTCAAAATTATAAAGAAACTCAAAAGGATAATTGTAATCAGGAAAAAAAAAAAAAAGTCATGCCAGAACTCCACCAATATCTTAAATTCATGATCCAAATCTCCTAAGAACTTATTTATATATACTTGAAGAAAGACTGTAGATACCCCCTTCTACTGCCCCCCCACACCAAATTGGAAATGTATGCAGTATTCACAGTTCCCCAGGACACCGGCTGGATGGCAGAGCTGAGAGTGCCTCAAGCCACCATTTAGTGGAGTGAAGTTTATGGGGAGGGATGCTGAGAATTCTGGTCTCCACCCTGATCTGCCACAACTGTGACTAAGAGTGGGGATATCACAAGCGTAGTCTGTGGCTGAGAAACCAATTTATATGTGAACTGCTTTTAATATCGATGTATGATATTTTGATGCATTCCAAGTTTCCAGCCTATTCTACCCCACTCCAGATATGCTAATATGTGCCAAAACTCATTAAAATTGACACAGTTTTCCATAGTCAAGATCAATAATTAGCAAAACCTCCACATTACTTCCTCTATAGAGTGGCAGTTTGCTGGTTAGTCTTTTCAAGCCCTTATAGCTACATGGCACAGTGTGTTTAGGATTCTGCTGACACCATACAGAGCAGAGCCAAAGACTGTAATTCAATCTTTAAGAAATAAAGCAAAGCATGCCATTGGACACCACCCTCATGGAACAGGCTGCCATTGGAGGGCATATCATGTCAGACTCTCTCTGCTCCCAGCCAGCAAGCCACCAGGTTTCCTTGGTAGTCTGTTATATCCCCACCACTTTGGTAGCTGTGGCCTACATCTTGAGGTGTTTAGCCGTGGATGTGAAGCCCAGATTGGCCTCCTGTTGAGTCCTGAGAAAAACTGGCAGCTCTCACCACACCAGTGCTGCTGTGGGCGTGGGTGCTCTCAGGGACCCCAAGCAGGCTTACCACAAATGCTCCGACTGAGGGGTGACCTCTCCTTCAGCACTTACCCACTTATGGTTTCCTAGCTTCCTCACCAAATCATCCTTTTCCACCAAGGGGTCAGGAGGCTAACTCTAAAGCTACAGATGCCAAAATCTGTGTGTGTGGTCTCTGAAGCCTTGTGTTTACCTGGGAAAGGCACATGGCGTCACACTTGCTAGTCTGTCATGTCCGTGTGTTCTGAAATGATGGTTAATATTCTGAACCATCCAAGTAAAGCAGATGTCATGTGCTCACACCCCACGTGGGGGAATTTGAAAGTCACAACTCAAGGCATTACACCTGAATGAAAAACTCCCAGGGGAAGCCAGGACTAGAAAAAAAGGCTGTGGTTGGAGCAGAGGGTGTAAGTGAATGAACAGGAGTACAGACACCCTGTGCAGAGGCTCAGACTAGATCTTTCTGAAGTCTCTGGGAAAGTTCTCCCTTCTCCCCATTCTCATTCCTGCTGGAGCCCTTCCCCCCTTCCCTTTGCCGTCCTTGCTCCTTCTGTGTTCTGTCTCAGCCTCTATTCTTTTGTTCATCCAAAGTCTGGTCCTTGCTATAGCACTGCCAGAGTACTTAAAAATATCTTTCTTTACACTCTTAGAAGTGATAGTGATCATTTAAAATTAGAAACTACGTGGTTGGCTTCAGTTGTCAACTTGACACACCTGGGAAGTGAAAACTTCAGATGAGAATTTCCTCTATCAGATTGACCTTGGAGCATGTCTGTGAGGGATTTTCTTGATTGTTGAGTGATGTGGGGGAGCCCTGCCCACCCCACCATAGGTGGTGCCACCCTTGGGCAGGTGGTCCTGGGTTGTATAGAAAATCAGGCTGAGCACAAGCCAGAGGAACAAGCCATAAGCAGCCTTCCTTTATGGTGTCTGCTTCTGTTCCTGTCCTAACTTCCCTCAGTATTAGCCACACAAGCATGAGGTCCTGAGTTCAAACCTCAGAACCCAGGTAAAAATGCTGGGTGTGGTGGTACTCACTTGATATCCCAACTACATTTGGAAACAGGAGGATCCCTGAGGCTAGCTAGCCTTATCTAATCAGGAAGTTCTAAGCCAATGAGAGACTTGTCTCCTAAAAGAAGTTAGATGGCTCCTGAAGGTTGACTCTTGGCTCTCCCACACCCCCCATGATGTGGCCCCTTGTTGTGAACCATTTTCATAACAGAGAATGTGCTGTGGACATAGTCTCTTGCCATAAGTATATTTACAGTGGACTCCCAACCTCTCCTTTGAAACATTATTGCCCAGCCTCTTTCCAAATGGTATCTTCTCTCTTCCCCACTCCAAAATACCCAAGTTTATCATTAGTATTTGGGGTTGTCCCAGAGTCTAGTCTCTGAATGTGCCTTCTGGTGTTTCCTTGCTCATACCTCTACAAGTCGACTGTATCCTCCTCCCTGTTCTGCCATGTGATATCAAAATGCCCATCATTTGCTTCAAATCAGCTTATAAAGTTAAGCCATGTGACTGAGTTATTTTCCTGTTGCTGTGATAGAATACCCTGATAAAAGCTACTTAAGGGCAAAAGGGTTTATTCTGGCTCACAGTTTGAGTGTACAGTCCATCATGGCAAGGGAGGTCATGGTAGCCAGAACTTGGGCAGCTGGTCACATTCCACCATTCCAGCCACACTCAGGAAGTAGAGAACAGTGAATGTTGGTGTTCGGCACACTTTCTCCTTTTTATGCAATCCAGGACCCAAGTCCAGGGAATGGTGCCACCCACTTTTAGGGTGGGTCTTCACAGCTCAATAAACTTAATCAACAGAATTCCTCACAAGAATGCCCAGAAGCTATTCTAATCTAAATAATCCCTCACAAGTGTGCCTGGTGGCAGTTCTCTTAGTTGAGTCCAGATCCTATCAAGTTGACAGTCAACACTAACCAGCACATCAGGCGTCCCAGTTTCAATAAAATCCCCAGTTGACATCCAGGACTAAATAAATGTTTGAGATCAAGGCAAATTGAACTGCCTTAGATTTCTAAATGCCACATCCAAGTTCAGAGTGAAAGCTTAAATCTATGTGCACTCAGAAAAGATTTATTGGTGTTACGAGTGTACTAAATTCAGAGTCTTGGGGCAAAGTCAGTCCAGCTACCACCAAGAGCCTGTGTTTGTCTTCTGAGGTTAGTGGGGAGCAGGACTCCAGTGGGGTGACAACAGCCCCCAGGGCTGAAATAGGAAAGGTAGTCAGGGCATGGAGCTACAGTAGTGCCCTTCTTTGTGGTCGGGTTCAGGTGGCCATTTTAGTCAGTTTCCAGAGGGCAAAATGCCAGAAATCCCCACCTTGAATAGCTAACAAACTAAAAGGTTATCCACAGAACATGTGAGGATGTTTGCCATAGTCTCAAACCTTCCTCCTGGGACACAATCTTATTATCAAAGGCCTGATTATCATCAGCCAACCTCTTTCCCAAGCCCAGCTATCAGGTTTTCAACTTTGTTTCTTTTAAGTATTCTTTAAAACAACAAATCCCTTGTGAACACTTTGACCAGGATTTTTTTTTCCAAAGTGGTTCTGTGAAATTTGACACTTCAAACACATCACAGAAAAGAAACCTAGTTCCTTTACTGAGATATTGAATAATGGAAAATTGGCTGTTACCTAGCAACAACTTAGAAACACAGAAGGATGTAATGACAATTGAAAATACCTGAAGAAAATTTCGTCATGGAATATGTAGCTTCTGACACACCATTGTCTTCCCTTGTGTCTTGGCAATGTGTATTACTGTTATTTGCAACAAGTAACAAGATATAACTTGCCTATGACATTTGGAAAACAAAATTGCTATGATAAAGTTCTCAAAGTCAAGAAATGTTTCTGATACTGTTCTTCTGATCCATCTTTTGTTCCCACCAGGGTTCAGAAATAATAACAGGTAATGTGAAAGATGGGACGTACTTCCGACTTCACATTAACAAGTATAAAATGGTGGAGACCATCACATGCCTTTCAAAGGCACCTTTCCCAGTCTCCAACTATATACAATTGTTTGGACAGCATGAACGGGTCCTCAACAACCTATGTATTCGTTATGAGGACAAGCAGATCACAGATCTCTATAGGTAAGTGGGGCAATGAATTTGATTGTGGGGACATATAATTATATGTGATGTTTCCTGAATGAGGGATGTGTGTTGTGATGCACCAGAGAGCAAAACAGGAATCACTGGGAGAAGCCAGAGTGATCAAGATGTCATTGCAGCTTAATAATGAATATCTGACCACCAGCACTGGCTGGAGAGCAAAGGATCACACAAGGAAGTTCATGAACTTGTATACGTCTACACCTGGGCCACCTCAGGTGCAACCGTGCATGATGTTCATGTCATGGAGGGCTGAGATGAGAGGATAGTCAAGTCCCTTTCCACATGGGGCTTCTAAGAGCAGCAATAAGAACCTTAAAGAAAGGATTAGGGTCTGGATATAGAAGAATCTGGCCCCAGGAGGAATTCTGCAGCCACCAGACAGGCTGTTTGTGATTCCACCTTTTCCTCTGAGCATGTGTAGCAGCAGAGGTGACTTGTTTAGCAAAGATGCTTGTAAGGAAATTCCTGTTCTAGGTGATCTATAGTCTTTTTAAACTCTTTTATAATAAGTTTTATCAACAACATGTCAAGTTCCTTTTTTAAAAAAATCTCATTGGATTTGGTGGGAAATGCATCAAATCTTAGATCAGTTAGATGACAATTTGCTTCTGTGATATTGATCCCAATACCAGCATAGTATAAGTCTCAAATTATTTAGGATCCTTGAAGAATGCATGACATTTTACAGCTACTTCTGGATGCAGCTGCTGTTTACAAGGTTAGGAGAACTTCTATACACAAAACAAGATGGTTCAAATTCAGTGCCTGATATAAACAAGAATATAAAATAGAATTTGAGTATCTTTGATACCCATAGGATGACTGCCAGTATCAAAATCCGTCTTCCCTCTTAAAATTTTTAAATTATGGAATACTTTATACAGCAGAAAAGCATGTGAGACATTCTTGTATGTGTTTAGGGAAATAATATTGGCAACTCAGGAGTCTGCCACCCACATTAAGAAATAATTCCTTACCCCAGGACACTGAAAGCCCCTTTCTGGGCATATCCAACTACTCTTTGGGAGGATGCCACTATTTTAAAGTTAGAACTAGTCATTCTGTTTCTTGTAATCAGGCAGTTTTTTCTATAAAAGGACAGATAAAGCCTTTGTCACAAGTTCTCAACTCTGCCCTTGTAACAAGAAAGCAGCAACCGATGATACATAAGCAAATGGATGTAACATGGCCCAATAATGCAACATATACCAAAACAGATACTGACTGGGTTTGATGCAAGACTTGTAGTTTCTCAACCCTTATTTTGAACATATATATAACACATAATTATAATTATAATTTCCTAAATAATATTACTTTGTTTTGTCTGCTTTTATTTAAATATTCTATTTAAACTGTGTGAGAACCACCTGTGTTGATGGATGCAGCTCACTTCTTCTTCCTACCGTGTTGCCTTCCAGTGTTTAATCCATTCATGACTTTTTTTGTTGGTTATCGTTTTAAGTTCTTTGTGCTGTTACAAACAGTTCCATCGTCATTGAGAACATATTTCATGTGTATAATTTCCCTAACAGTGTCCCAGCCCTTTAACTGCTGGATCCTGGCAACCTGTACACCTCACACTTACTGGTTGATGCCCACACATCTTCCAAAGTAGTCATATCTGTCTACACAACCCACAGCGGTGCATGATGGTTCCTTACTCCTGTACATATTAGTTATGTTCCAATTTCAAAATCAGGCCAGCCTGGTCAAATGCAAAAATATCTTATCCTGGGTTTAATCTACCATTCCATGATTACTAATGCAGTTAAGTGCCTTTTTACTTGTTCAGAGGATGTTTATGATAGTTCATGTGAAATGCCTATTTGTGACCCCTTGGGTTCTCCTCTTAATGCCCAAGAGTGCTCATATATCTTGAATGCTTCTTCTAATTTGAAATTGTTCTTTTCTGTATGATGGCAATTAATATATACTCTTAATTTAATATATTTTATATTCTCTAATATAATCTATTTGTCTTCTTCAAGAGCATCTTTGAGATTTTTGTCCGTTTGCTCCACCAAAAGTTTTATAGTAAACTCATCATGGTCCATGAAAACCCCATTGGATTTGATGGACAATGCATTAAATTTTGGCTCAATTAGGCAAGACATGACCTTTTTGATACTGATTCTTACATAGTATAAATCTCAATTTATCTAGATCTTCTCTTGTGTCTTTCAATGAACTTTTAAATTTTTTCCATAAATGGCTTGCATGATTTTTGTTTGGTATGATCTAAAATACCCTATATTTTTTATTGCTGCTCTAAACATCATTTGTATTAGGCTAGTGAGATGACTCAAAGGGTAAAGTGTGTGCTGTAGAAGCCTTGTGATCTGAGTTCAGTACCCAAAACTTATGTAAAAGTGGAAGGAGGGAAGAAATTCCTCAAAGTTGTCCTCTGACCTCCACACATGTGCCTTGGCACACATGTACCTGCACTTATATACACATACAATAATAATTAAAGCTTTTCTAAACATCATTTTTATTATTTGTTGCTGGTGTATAGAAATTCCCTAATTTTTTATATAGTCTGTGTCCTGAAAATTTGCTATTAAACTCTAGTAATTCAAATTATTTACCAGTCGATTCTTTTAGGTTTTCCACATAGAGAAAACTATATCCTTTACAAATAATGTCGGTTCTATTTCTTATTCAATCATTGTGATTTCCATTTGTTTTTCTTGTCCTACTACACCGGCAAAACTATTTGGCATAAATTACTGTAGGAGGAGTTAGAGAAGGCACACTTGACTCATTCTTAATCTTATAGGTAATGTGTTCAGTATTAAATGTGTGACATTCAAAAAATATGTGACATTCACCATGTTATAGATGCCTTTTATTGGGCTAAGAAAGTTCTTTTGAAGACTGAATTTCTACGCTCTGTGTTGTGTGTGTGTGTGTGTGTGTGTGTGTGTGTGTGTGTGTGTACTGGAGATTGAACCCAAGGCATACCCTCTGCTGCTGATCTTTATCTTAATTCAGTATTTTTGTTTATCATGAATGTAGTTTTGCTTTTTCTTCCAAAAGGAGTACTTAATTTCTGAAACCATTTATGTATAAGGAATGCTTCCTAGTGGTTTCAAATATAATCCATATCTTCATAAAGTATCAAATTATTTAATCATAGGTTTTCCCTTCTTCAAACATTTAGAAACTTGACTCTGACTGGATGTGTTGACTTAGAATCCTTCAGTACATACCCAGGAGTGATGACATTAATTGAGTCATATTGTAGTGGAACCTCCACACTGACTTCCACAGTGGCTGGACTATTGTACATTGCTGCCCCCAGTGGATAAGTGTTCTCTTTTGTCCACATCACTGCCAGAATTTCTTGTTCTTTGTTTTCTTAATGAATGCCATTTTGACTGGCTTGAGATGTAATCTCAATGTAGTTTCAGTTTGCATTTCTCTGATGGCTAAAGTTGAACATTTTTCATATGTTTATTGGCTATTTGTACTTCATCTCTGGAGACCTATTATAGCTGTTCATTTCATTAGGACATTTATTGGTTGGGTTGTTTGGTTTCTTGTTATTTAATTTATTGAGTTCTTTGTATATTCTAGATATTAATTCTCTGTCAGATGTATAGCTAACAAAGATTTTTCTCTCCCATTCTGTGGACTGTCACTTCACTTAAATTAATTGCTTCCTTTGCTATGCAGTTTTTTTATTTCATAAGTTCCCATTTGTGAATTATTTACATTATTTCCTGAGAAACTGGACTCCTATTCAGAGTCCTTGCCTATGCCTATACTATCTTGAAGTGCTTTCCCTACTTTTTCCTCTAAGAGTTCCAGGTCTTACATTAAGGTCTTTAATACAGTTGGAGTTGATTTTTGTACAAGGTGAGAGATTGGTATCTAGTTTTATTCTTCTACATGTAGATATCCAATTTTGCCAGCACCATTTGTTGAAGAGACTATCTTTTCTCCAGTGCATAACTTTGGCATCTTTGCCAAAAACACATGGGTCTATGTGTATTCATATTTGGTCCCCTATTCTATGCCACTGAACTATACATCTGTGTACCGTGTTATTTTGTTACTATGGCTCTTTTGTGTAACTTGGAGTCAGATATGGTGATACCCCCAGCATTATTCTTTTTGATCGAGATTGCTTTGATTCTCTGGGGTCTTTTGTACTTCCTATTAATTTTGAGATTATTTTTATATTTCTGTGAAGAATGGCAGTGAAATTTTGATGAAGATTACATTGGACCTGTAGATTACATACATATTTGTAGATATACTTTTGGTAGTATAGCCATTTTCATAATACTAATTCATAATCCACAAGAATGGGAGGTCTTTCCATCTTCTAGTGTCTTCTTCTTCTTTCTTCAGTGCTCTAAAGTTTTCATTGTAAAGATCTTTCACTTCTCCTTGGTTAAGTTTGTCCTAGGATTTTTTGAAGCTATTGTAAATGAGATATTATTCCTAACTTTTTTTGGGCAAGTTTACTATTGGACCATATAAACGGTAATGACTTTTTTAAAGAAATTATTTTTATTCTATGTGTATGAGTGTATTGCCTGCATGGATGTGAGTGCACCCATGTCGTGCAATGCCTTCGAGTTCTAAGATTTTTTTTTTTGTTTTTGTTTTTGAATTTCAGGCAATTGTGGGGTTATTTTCTCGATTTCATTCTCAGAATGTTTATTATTTGTATATGGGAAAGCTATAGATTTTTCTGTCAATTTTATTTCCTGCTACTTTTCTGAAAGTGTTTATCAGATCTAAGAGATGTCTAGTGGAGTCCTTGGGCTCACATATATAGAATCATATCATCTACAAATAGGGATACATTGATTTCTTCCCTTCATATTTGCATACCTTTCATTTCCTTCTCTTGTCTTATTTGTTCCAGCTAAGACTTTGAGCACTATATTGAACAAGAATGCAGAATGTGCAGCTTTTTTCGTTCGTAAATTCAGTGGAAATATTTGAGGTTTTCTAAC